TCTGCAAACGTTGCAGCAAAACTTTGGCCTGGTTCAAAATGTTGTTTTTCGACAGTTTTTTTTTTTTTTCATTTTTATTTGACTTTTTTTTTTCTTTTTTTTTTTTTTTTTTTTTTTTTTTTTTTTTGGGTTCTCACGCAGCAGTCGCCGCCAACAAGGCGCGGAAATTGGGCAGCCAGCCAGGGCCAGCCAACGTATCCATGCGTTGCATCGAGACACGGGGCCTGGCTGGCTTTTCGCTTTCAAATGCCTATGCAACAATGGGGCTGTGGAGCAGGGGGGTGGCGTGCGGGGCGAAGGGAGTGGCCTTTTTTGCAAGTGGTTTGATTTGTGATTTTGGCATTCTTGTGTGTGTCGCTAGCTGCTTAAATCTGAGCTGGCTTTCGATTTTGTGGGTCGCACAATTTATGCGCACTTTATGCGTTTGCCCAAGTCGTGACTTGGACCCAACAGATTACAGCGCGGAGCATGGAGCCGACGTTATGTAATGTGCGTGTGCGTGTGCGTGTGTGTGTGCGTGTGTGTACGTGTGTGGGGGGCTGCGTTGCGCTATTAAGTGAGAGTTGCACCTAGTTGTTGCACCAGATTCAAGCGGCAGCTGCAACTTGTTCGCTGCCTGCGAGGCAGAACAATTAACAGCGTCGACTGTTGCGCACAAATGCATTTTAATAACAGCCAATTACAGCATTCAATACAAATTGTATACGCATAATTGTTGCAAAGATTCTGAGCTGTTTCAATGCAGTAGCGAGTAGAGAATAACCAGTTCTGAGTGCCAAAAAGTTCTGGCCATTGCAATAGATCAAGAACTGTTGACTTAAATGAAGAAAGCTGAGCGAGTGGCGAAGAGTTGGTTGAATACAAATAGCATATATGACAAGCAATGGCAAATAAGTATGAATAATGTGATTTGAGATAAGAATAGAGGGTAGAAATAGGTAGAGAGTGGCGAGTAGCGAGCGAGGCGTAATTGAAGTAGCGTGGAATGACTGACGATAGAATACCAAACGAGTACAAAGTGAGGTAGCGTGAGCGTTGTGAGAGTATCGAATGAAGAGTAACGAGTAACAAGGAACGAGAAACGAGTAACAAGGAACGAGAAACGAGTAACGAGAAACGAGTAACGAGTAACGAGTAACGAGTAACGAGTAACGAGTAACGAGTAGCGGACAGAGGAGAAGAGCAGTGAGCTGTAGATCTAACGAGCTAGCAATGAATAAAAAGTTAAAAGAAAGAATGAATGAATAGCAATAAAGAGGGGAGAATGAAAAGAGAAATGCATGAAAAGTAACAGAGATGAACCTGAGGAAGTACTAGTTAGTGATACGCAAATAACATTAGTAACAGAGCAAAAAATAAGCAACAATGAGAATAGTCATAGATAGTCAGTGCTTAAGTTTTGTATTTACTCTAATCTCCAATAAATAAATACATAAAGTAAAATTATAAAAAGAAGTCTATTAAGTTATCGATTTAATCGGCTGTTGTAGCACAATTGAATGTGGGCAAAAATGAGTGGCGCTCACAAAGCAACGAGTGAATGAATATACGCGAAAGGAGCTAGTCACCTGATTCATGAAAAAAAAAAAAAAACATCTTGCTGCTTAACTGTTTGGTTTTTACTACATTTTGTCACTTGTTGACTTTGTAGTTCATGAAGTGCGTATGAAGCAAGTTAGTTGTTCCTGCTGCCGCATGCCGCAGTTGGTTGCATGGAATTTCCTTGACCGGATCAGCAAATTAGTCAAAAACAACAGCAACAATCAATATTAACAATTTCCAATTAAACAATGATGCCTGATGCGATTTCGATTAACTTGAATCTGCAGCGCACTCAAAGCCAATCAGCAAATGGGCAGAGCAACAACGTTGAGGCGGGTGTTGGCTGCAAGCTGCAGCAGCTGCTGCGTCTGCGTCTGCGTCTGCGTTGCATTGCGTTGGCCACGCCTGCGCACTGCGAGCATTCACAATGAGCAGACAGCGGCTTGTCGCCGCGGCTGCCTGCTTTGCCAAAAAGTTGGCATTGCAAACCCGTTTTCCAGCGGCTGCTGCTGCCACTGACGCTGGACCATATTTTCCCAGCGGCTTTTAATCATGCGGCGCTGTATAAATAGGCGCAAAGAACGCGACACTGAGACAGTTTTCGATTCGAAGCCTAACAGCCCGGTGCAGCAAATCAGTTACAAAAACTACATTCAACGTTTCTTTTTTTTCACGTGAAGTAAACTTAAAATCCACATTCACAAAATGGCATTCAAGGTGCGTAAGGACTCAAGTGAATGCATTGTGTGTGTGTGTGTGTGAGTGTGTGAGCGTCTGTTCTACAGACTACCTGACAGGATACGCTGGCCATTTGCCAAGCTCCTTTAGTCCGTTGGGAGCTTTATCGTTGCATTAGTAAATATTTGAATTCTGATTTCTGCTAAATTCTAGTAAATTCTGCTAAATTCTTCCCTTGAAACTCTGACCGCTTTTCCAGCATTTGCTGAAAATTTACATTTTCCGTATAATTTTGAGCAATTCGACCAGCAACAACGTTTGGCCCGCATGAAGATTTTCAGTCATTGTAATCCATATTTTTTTGTTCTCTTTGTTTTTTTTTTTTATACCCTGAACCCATTTTCAATGGGAAATCAGGGTATAATGGTTTTGTTGAAATGTATGTAACAGGGAGAAGGAGGCGTGTCAGACCCCACAAAGTATATATATTCTTGATCAGGGTGACGAGCTGAGTTGATTTGGCCCTGTCCGTCTGTCTGTCCGTCTGTCCGTCTGTCCGTCTGTCCGTATGTATGAACGCGTCGATTTCAGAAGATATAAGAGCTAGAGACTTCAAATTTTTTTTAAAATGTCCGTAATTACAGCGCGCATATCAAGTTTATCATTAAAATTCGATAACTCATCCCGATCTTTTTTTATCGATAAAAAACCTTATCGAAAACCAGTTATAAAATTATATCTTCTACACCTTTATTGCTAGAGTCTCCAAATTTTTAATGTATGCTTATATGCAATTTATACAATTTCGGTTTTTGTTAAAATTTACCCCCCACCCTTAAATTCACCCCCTCACCCTCACTTTTGTAAAAAGCGTATTTCAAATACTAGAGACTTGTGCTTTGGCAATTACATGCATATCCATGTTATAATCATAATCTGAAAGTTTCATGAAGATCGTACGTCCANTTTTTTTTTTTTTAAGCTTTGGGTACCTGACATTGTGTTTGGCTTTTCGCATTCCATTAGGGAGAGCATTTTGTGTATTTATGTTATTTTTAGCTCTTCAACAATAATCTCTCCAATTCAACGTAAAATTCCAACGTTGAAGCTTTAAGAGCCCCACTCAGGTGCAAAAATCTGAGAAGAGTTAGATAAACTTCCACACTTCTCGTCCAACTTATACACAAATTCATTAATCTCAGTGAAACTAGCTGCAATTCGGTCAAAGTTCTTTACTTGCAGCTTTAAAAGTGACTTAAAGTTTCAGTTAATGGCTCAAGGAATGGAGACTAGAAAAGTAGAGAGAGAAAAAAAAAAAAACACACTCTTTCGCCTAGGACGCCATAATTTAATAATTTCAGCTGTCACTGCCAGGCGGCCTTATCGAATTAAAGTTTCAAAAAATTGGCTAAGCTACGCAAATCGCAAACTTTTTAATTCCCTGAAGCTCCGTGCAACTTTGGCAGAAACAGATTGACCTCCGTTGTGCTTTGGCTCGCTGCGAAAGTCAAAGCAAATGCTGCTAAATGTGAAGCTGAAGGTAATCGAGCGTCTTAATGCTAATTAGCTGGCTCAAGACGCGCAATTAATAAGCAGCCGAATGCCGAATGCCGAATGCCGAATGCTGAATGCTGAATGAAAGGAAAGCCAATCAATATTATAAATATGCAAAGGCGAAATAGCTGCGTAACGGCAATCAGAAGTGGGTCAAGTGGGCAAATCTGAAATATCCTCGAGCTGTCCTCGAATGCCATTCACGTGTTAAGAGCTACACGTCCTGGCATCAGCTGACCAAGCTCCGTTCAGCTCCGTTCTGTTGTCCACTTAAAGCAAATGCTCTAGACTTTGCCTTCCACTCCTCAGTTTTGCTTAAATGTTCTTTTTCGTTGGACCGTTGGGCCGTTCGCCGTTCGCCGTTCGCTGTTCGTGCGGCCTTGGCCACGGTGCCGGCCCATTCTTGTCCGGCAGTGAGTTACGCTTAATTAAAATCAGATAAATACCCAAAGACAAATAAAACCCGCGCCAAGTCAACTGCAAGTCGGGCACGTCAGCCTGCCAGCAAAGAACAACAAAACACAGCGGAACAGCAACGGAAATGATATAAAGTTTAAATAAAATATAAATACAAAAACAAGAAAAAACAAAAAAAAAAAAAAAAAGAAAAGAAAAGAGGCCAACCGAACTCCCTAGTGGGCCGCCGACTTTCGTAGCGTCTCCTCTTTTTGCATTTTTACGCGTAAATTGAAATTCAATGGAATTGTTTACAAAAATGTAAAAGTAAGGTCACAAAGGACAGTCGAAAAAAAATCACCACATACACACCCAAGCAAACCAAACCCAAAGTACGCAAAGAGACAAAAAGCAAACGGCCAACATGTCAGACCAGCCAGATTAGTTTTCAAGAAAGCTAGTGCGATAGGACAATTTAAATTCCGCACAGAACTCAAACAGAAAAAGAAAAGGAATCACCCAACAAAGGACGAGTTGCATGTAACGAGTTTCAGGAAGCAACTGTTCAGCTCGCAGCCCCTACCGCGCAGAGTGCGATGGGGCGAGCAGTTGCGTAACAGACCAGCGAAAAGCCTGGGAAGGACAAATAGCACAGAGGACTCAACAGAGAGGGGCAAACGACGGGTAATGAAAAGGCAGCGCAATGCAGTTGTTGCAATTGATTAGGAAGAGAGGAAAGCGACGAGTAGTCGATTAAGTAGTAGCGAGTATATGAGGGGGAATAAATTAAGGGCCAATAGGTGATGGGAAAATATTAAGGAGTAACATGCGACGAGTAACTTATTAAGGGCTGTAAAGTAAAGAGTAAAATGTGACGACTAGCGAGTAAGGAATAGTATGTGACGAGTAGTTACTAAGGGGAACAAAGCAAAGAGTAGTAAGTTACGAGAACGTATTAAGGAGAAACATTCGACGAGTAACTCGATTAAGGGGAATAAAGTAAAGAGTAGAGAGTAACGAGCAGCTAGTAAAGAGTAGCTTGCAACGAGTAACTATATAAAGGGGAATAAAGTAAAGAGTAGAAAGTAAAGAGTGATATGTAGCGAGGGGCTAGCAAGAAGTAACATGGGAAGACTAATCCATAAAACAATAGAAATACGAGTTACTAACAACGAGTGACACTTACCATGGACCGATGGACAACTACAACTACAACTATAGGGGATGAAGAGTAATTAGTCATGAAAAACGAAGAAAAAGTAAGCAGAAGTAAAGAGTAACTAGTACTAATAAAAAAAAAAATTAAATAAAAAAAAAAAAAAAAACAGTATGCATGCGACCTATAAATACGCATGGAGCTATAAACAGCAATGGGCAACTAGTAGCGACTAGTCAATATACTAGAGCGAATGAAAAAACGATTAGTAAACGTCTAGTAACTCGCAAAGCTATTAGAGAATGTCCACCAAAATGCTTGAGAGCATTGACAAATTAGCTAATTACGAGTAAATATTTAAATTTCGAGCAACCGGACGATGGCTGAGTAAGCGACCCTGGGCCATTTGCTGTCTGAGCGTTGTAGAGTTCAATGCGGGCGACGTAATTGATATGAATTAAGTACTGTCATATGTTAATATATAAAGCAGTTAGCCAAACAGAGAGAGAGAGAGAGAGAGAGAGAGAGAGAGAGAGAGAGAGAGCTGCCATGACAAAGTGCAAGCAAATATGTTTACTAAATATCACGCATACGACGCATTGCACAGGCTACAGTGTTGAAGCTATAGAGAGAGAATGAGTGAGTGAGTGAAAGAGAGAGAGAGAGAGAGAGAGAGAGAGAGAGGAAAGTAGATGGCGAGTAGTGAAAAATTTGAATTTCCAACTACTTTGCCAACTTAATTAAAAGTTTATGCGCCTGCAATTTCCTAGTGCGTCGTGTGCTCCCTGTCGATATGCAAGCCAAATACAAATGAGTTGTCAGCCGACAGCTGGGTTCACTAAATTTTGCATGTGTGTGTGTGTGTGTGTGTGCAAGTGTATCAGTATCGCATCCGTGTTGTGCTTCAAGTTCTATACTATAATAAGTATTTATCTATGCAGGTCATCTTCTGCATTGCCGCCATGGCGATTGCCTGCGCCCAGGCCAAGCCCGGCGGCCCAGCTGCCTACTCGATTAACGCGCCCAGCGTGGACCACGCCTCCGTTGGCAATACACAGGAGCATACGGTGAAGGGACACTACGGCCAGTCATCGCAGTCGGACTACGCCAGCCAGGTGCAAACCGCCCATTCGCAGTCGCATGTGCAGCGCTCCAGCATCAGCAATGATGGCGGTTTGGCGCCTGCTCATTATGCTGGTGAGTGAACTGAAGCCTTCAAGTGTACACACGCACACGCACACGCACATGCACACGTATACTCACACATGCATCACCCACTTTGATATTCACAATACGCACAAAGCACTCACTATTCATTGAATATGCACGTAGTTGATATGCTAACACAAAAAAAAAAAAAAAAAAAAATCCGCAAAATCAATCTATAGCCGCGCCACAAGTTGCCACCTACGCAGTCGGACACACTGCACCCGCCCAGATCCAGCTGACCAGCGGCCACGGGGCCTTGAGCCAGGGCCTGGCCTACGGCGGACACTACGCAGCCGCCGCCGCACCCGCCATCGCCTATGGCGGCCACTACGCCTCCGCCCCCCTTGCAGCCTATGGCGGCCATTATGCAGCCACGGCGCCCGCTTTCCAGCTCTCGGGCGGCTCCCACCTGAGCCTGGGCAGCCTGGGCTATGGCTATGGATATAGCGCAGCTGCTGCCGCACCGGCTCTCTCCCACGGCTACCAGCTGGCCGCCCCAGCCGCTGCTCCGATTGTGAAGTACGCCGCCGCTCCAGCCTATGGTAGGTGTTCGTCGGATCCATTGTAGACTCTTAAGCAGCTGCTAATCTCTGCACCTCTATGCTTAGTCGTAGTGCCTAATCTAGCTGTAGTTGCAGTAGTCGTAGCTTTTACTAATTTTCCAGCCACGCATGTATTCAACACTTTTCTTTCAGCTCCTGCCGCAGCCTCAGTCTCGGTCTCACCTCTGTCTTTGCCTTTGGCTTTGCCTCTGCCATTGTGTGTTCCGTTTCCTTTAGCTTGGCTTCTGCATTAGTTTATTGTACTTTCGCTTTGGCCAGCCAAGTATACATGGCCAAAAGCAAACCTAATGCTCGGCAAATACAAAGTACAACTTTTCCTCGAATCAGGCCACGCTGCAGTGAAGCGGGGGCGGGGTGGGGCATTTGAGCTGGGGTCGTGTGCTTAAAGCAGTGTGAACAATCTGAGCCAAACACAAACATCAATTCTGTCAGCCAGACAGAGGAGGTCTGTCGAGAAGTGAGATAAATTCGTTGAATTTTTGAACCCAAATCCTAAACCAGACAGATCTCAAAACCTGAAGGTTTAAGCTGGACTGGGGCCATAGACTAACCCACAATAGGGATTATATTTTACTACAATTATTATTACAGAGAAAAATCTTTATTTGCATTTATTTTTATTTATTTTTATTTGCAATCCTCTGTTGACTCTCAGTCCTTTTAGCTGGAGACTCACGGCTCCTCATGAAATGGGGCTCTTTAAGTTATGCTAGCTGAAATTATAGACAAATGCACAATCAATATGCAATTATGCAATTATTTCATAAATATTTGAGCAGCTAACTGGGCTAGTTGAAATGTGCCTCATGCATTATCTATATGAAATGGGCGTGGCAGTAGTTGCTAACGAATGTCGAAGTGAACATTCGGCCACTGTCGCTGCTGCTTAGCGAAAGAGAGAGAGAAAGAATCAAACAGTGCGCGACAGACAGAGAGGGAGGGAGTGAAATGGGGCATTGGAGACACCCGTAAGAGTAGTTCGTTGGGACAGCCATGTCGGTCAACGCAAGCCGTATAATCAATCATTCATATATTGTTGCCAACTACTTTAAGCCATTGACACGCGGTCCCTTCGCACACGATGACGATGATGACGATGATGATGATGATGACGATGGTAATGGCGATGTGTGCGTATCGCTTTCCAAGTGGGGCAGTCAGTTTGTCAGCCATTTGAACAAGTGGCATTTGGCATGGCGGGCGCATTTGCCACGCCTCGAGAAGTCAATGGGACAGCCGCCTTCGACCAGCTGGCCAATCTATGCCAAACGCAGCGTTGCCACACTTCGCCGTGTCTTCCTACTTATTTGCACTTTATTTTTTACGACCTGCGCTGTTGCCATAGCTCACAGTGCATATGAGTTTCTGCAAGCAGTTTATTATCATTTTCATGCGCTGTTGTCGCATTTCACTCAAGCATGGCTGACACCGTTCCTTCAAGTGAAAGCCAGCCAGTGTTGAGCAATGTTCATTTATTTACTGACGCTATTGGCAAACTTCAGTCTATTGACCATTGAGCAGTGTTGCCACATTTCATTAAAGTGCTTGCATCGTTGTCTGCTTTGCCTTTGATTATAATTACTTATGTTGAAGTACTTGCAATGTTGCCCCACTTCAGATTCGTTAACTTAGCAATGTTGCCACATTTCACATTGCAACGTTGTCCATTTCAGCTTTCTGCTGCTTAGCAATGTTGCCACATTTCATTTGCTTACTTATGTTAAAGTATTTGCAACGTTGCCTTACTTCTGCTTTCTTCAACTTAGCAGTGTTGCCACTTTTCATTCAACTACTTGCAACGTTGTCTCACTTCAGTTTTCATTAGCTTAGCAGTGCTGCCACATTTCTTTCGACTACTTGCAACGTTGCCTCATTTCATTTTCCCCACTATTACTTATGTAAAAGTTTTTGCAACGTTGTCTCACTTCAGCTTTCATCAACTTGGCAATGTCGCCACATTTGTTGCTTGCAACGTTGCCTCCCTTCACTTTCCTTGTAGTTGTTGACCCAGCGGGGACAGCACCACTGTTTCGCATGCTTGCGCCAACGTCTTGCCACATTGTAGCACAGGTTCCAGCAAATCATTTCATGTTGGCTCGACAGTACAAAATTGCAGACCTTGCCTCGCCAGTTGTCGACTTGTCAGTTGCCATGTGCTCGCAAGGCGACCGAACCTGCCGAGATCCCGAGGTGTTCGCCCCAAACGGCCGGCCAACTGTTTGCCCTCTCGTAACAATGGCCCAATTTGCAGCATCTGCGGGCGCGCGGACATTTCCATTGTTACGGCTGACAATCAGCATTGGCCCAGCAGTTATTGATCGCTGCCCGATAGCCCTGGAATCTGAACTTGTTATACCTAGCCGTACCTGCATGCTGGCCAACTCTCCGACTCTCATACCGATTATGCATTATCATTTGCATTGCCATTAGCATTAGCATTACTATTGCCATTCGGCTGCTAATGCGAGCTTCTGTCTGCCTCTGTTCCACAGCACCTGGCATCATTGGACACGGCATTGGACTTGCTGCCGCCCCCGCCTACGCCGCGCCCGCCTATGCCACGCATCTGGCCGCCCCAGTGCTCAAGTGAGTAATGCCTGCCGGTTTTATAAATAGAGATGGATCGCAGCGTGCGGCATGCTGCATGCAGCAGCAGATATGCAGCAGGAAGCATGCGGCATGCGGCATGCGGCACGTTGCATGCACATCATGTTCTTGCCACTATTCTACCATCTATCCACACAGGGCCGCCGTCGCACCTGCCCTGGTGCACACCTCCGTCTCCGGCCATGGCATTCAGTACGGCTACTAGAGCAGCGAGATGGGCCAACGTAACCAACCACCCCCCCGGCATGGAGCAAAGGACTAAAAATAATATTCGTGTCGAGCTAAAAAGCTTCTAATGCAACTCAAATTCACAGCTGCAGCAAGTGGCGACGTTGCCACATTTCAGTGCACCTTTTCATTTCGGATTCTGTTTTTTTTTTGTTTTTTGTTTTTTTCTCCTCGCTCTCTGAATTTTGTACACATCTGTTATTATTTGATAAGCATTGGCCAGGCTCCATGTCAACCAACGGAAAGTCTTTTCATTGCATGAATATTAATTTTCGTCGTTTTCTCCGTATATTGTGCGTGTGTGTTTTTTTTTTATCGCGGTTGAATTTACGTTTTATTTAAAGTTATTTTGTACAGAAAATGCATGTGAAATGTTGGAAAAAAAATAAAAATCATTTATACATAACATATTTATTCATGGTGACTTCAATTTGATGTACCCCACCCCCCCATGCAGAGGTAGTTAGTTCTGTTGGGGTTTTCATTTCCCTTTTTATTTTTATTTTGTGTGTGTGTGTGTGTGTGTGTGTGCTGGCTATCATTGCATTGCCATGAACTGGCCGCTGTTGGGACGCAGTCCCAATACTGCAGTTACAAGATGATATATGGGCGCCAAAAACTATGCTACGATTTATTTGCCACGCTCCAGTTGAGCACTTGCCATACGTACTGCATAGTTTATGGCGCAGTGCGTGGAATTTATCATAGTCGCAACATATATGAATACGAGTATCTGCCCAGGCCACAGGCTTAGCTCCGTCTCTCCAGCTCGTCCATGTGCGAAAGTATTAAAGTTCAAATGACCAAAGCCCTTCTATTTTTATTCTTTTCTTTTCTATTTTAGAGCGCGTTCGCCTATTATGCCGCATGCGCCTCGCCCAGGCCAGATTTAGCACAATGAAACGTATTTTTAGATAAATGCTAAAAAAAGAAAAAGTGCGAGTAGATCCGTTTTTTATTATCTAAATAAAGACAACAAAAAAATGAAAAATAATTCAACTGTAAAAAGGCATAAAAACTAAAAAAAATAAATAAATAAAAATATGTAGAGTGATTTAAAAATGCACTTTCAAATTAAGTGAATTGTTTATAGTAGTGGCTGTAGCTATTTACATAGATATAAATATTCATGTTTACTCATTTACGAGGTGAGAGAGCATATTGGCTTTTCACAATGCCCGTCTTACTGTCCGTGCCTCAAATTTTTCCTCCTGGACTGGCCTGAAATATATATTTATTATTATTAATATATACTCGTTAGTACCGATATGCTTATAAGGGGCGTGGCAAATCGAAAAATTCTATTCGCAACTCTAAGCTATTTAAATTGCTGGAGACTTGGCTTGAAATTTGGAATATATACTTGAAAATAAATAAATAAAGTTTTTTTTTAATACAATATCATGAAACTAAAGCTTCAAAGCGTATAGTTAGTTAGTAACTTAACAGACTTTTTCCAGACCCAATTGCTTTTGGGTCTCGCATGAGTATTAAGCAGTCGATAACTGCCGACTGTTTTCACTTATCTGACGATTTTCTCTTTAAAGGCTTACAGAGACACTCCACACCAATTAAATATTGCCAATATATGTAATATTCATATTTGCAATGAAAATGAAATTGATATTCATTGAAATGGTTTCTCTGGCTGAAGGTAGTTTTAATGAAGAAATATTCATCGGGCTACGCATACAAATAACATAAATTATTATTATTGTAWGAGAAAATAATAGTAATTGTCTAAGGAAACACGAATTTCGGGCTGTCAATGTGGCAAAGCAGCGACGACATATTGTTTACTTGTTAAAGTCTCAGCAACTGCAGAGGCAAACACACACACACACAGACACACACACACACACACATACCCACACACACTAACATATAACAGCGCATGGCATTCAAATATTGATTCAAGATTTTGTGGCCCTAGAGGCAGGCACAGCAAACATTTCAGACAAGCAGCTGGATATCAATTAAGATGCAAAGTTATGCCAGACTCTGGCACAACAACAACAACGATAATAACAACAACAACGACAATAAAGTAACGGCCACGCCCCAGCGCCAGTGCGTGCCGTGACTTGTGGCTTATTTGATTTGATTTAGCCAGCATGTTAAATTCAGCAACAGTTGTCCACCAAATACTGTTGGCATTTTCATTTAGAGCGAACACAATGCAAATGCAAACAAAAGCCGACTCCTGTTCGCTGGCAACACGGGACACCTGGGCCCAAGGTCGCGTCCCAATGTAAATACCGCTGCTGAGCAGCTGAAGGAGCCCCAGCAGCAGAGGAGACAGCCGGAATGGGGAACGCGAAGCCAAAACACAACAATTTCATTAGCAAATGCAGTCGAGAGACAAAGAGAGACAGAGAGAGAGAGAGAGAGAGAGAGAGAGAGAGATAGAGAGAGGGGGAGAAGGGAAGAGCAGAGATAGGGGCAGTGCTGGGTGTTGCGTGTATTGAGGCAAGGCCAGCTCAGTCAGCTCCGTCAGCTTCTCGACAGAACTAAGCGACCTCTGCAAGATGCCAAAGCAGTGCACAGAGGCAAATAGAGAAGAAGAAGAAACAGCAGCAGCAGGAGCAGCAGCAGGAGTAGAAGCAGAAGAGAAGCAAAAACAAACAACTTTTACAAAGGTCGTCACTTAACTATTCAAAGTTGGCAATGGCGAATGCTCTACCGAATAAATACAAATCGTTTTGCGTATTCCTCTTCTTCTTCTTCTCCATCTTAAACTTATTCTTATTATAGTTGGCAGCCAAAAGCAGCGCTGCAAGCGTCGGATGACCCTCATGGAGTAAGTTAGGTAAGTCCGTAATGGGACTCGGTCTGAAGCCCAAGCAGAGCTGCTTCGTGCTTTAAATTGAGCTAATGGCGTCGTTCCATATCTCTTCTATATATTAAATATTAAACTCAATAAAACATTACAACTACTTACATAATAATAATAAATAAAATAATAATGTGGATGTGTCTCTGATGATTCAGCTGCTGCACCAAATGGCCAATATAAATATGGACGCTATTAAATTTTAGGGGACACATCCGTTGAGAATCCTTGTTTTATTACGCAGGCCAATTAAGCGAGGGTCGTTCGCAAAATACATGAAATGACATGTTTAACTATCAGAGGACCACGGCGAATAAGAACCGTGCAAAGCGTAGGTGAATCGGCAGTTAGCGAATGAGAGCTCAGCGGGTAGAGAGTAGATGGAAATGGAAAATGGACGTGGGTTGGCCAGTGCAGAACATATTTGAATAAAAAATTTCAATTTGCTGCGTTCGGCAAACACAAATGTGCAATGCAGACAGAGCGGACAAAAAGATGGTCAACACAGCCAAAGCCAAGCACAAACACACACACGCACACATAGACATAGGCTGGCTGGGCATGTGGTGCGCGTCGCTTCCTGTTCATTTCCCCAGGTGACAGCACGCACGAAGTGACAAAGCGAGACCCAAAATGTCTGGCAATATGAAACGCAGCCATGTCAACACCTTGGCTAATCCTCACCTCACACACTCGAGCAGCTTGATGAACAGTTCTGGCCAAGCCTGTGCCGTGTGCTGCATTGCAGAGCTTCAAGTTTGCAACGCATTTCGGTTACCTGTGGCATATGCGGCATGCCGCAGCAGAAACAGCAAACAGCAAACTGTAACTAATTTAGATCTGTATGTATATGTGTGTGTGTGTGTGTGTGTGTGTGTGTGTGTGCTTGTACGTGACAGCTTCAATTAAGCAAATAGTTTGCCTTCACTGTGTATTCTAGCAACTGACCGACTAAACGAACAATTTGGTTTGCCTAATTCTCTGGGTCAGACTGAATTCAATCTGTGTGCATACAAATTATACTAAATAGAAGCTAAAGCTAAACTCAATGCCTGCTGTTTAAGCATGAACTGTTGGCAGTGCGACTTCATAGACATGTAGCATGTCAAAATTCATTTCAGGTTGACATCAAATTGTCTATCCAATTTAATGATGCTCAACATATTTAATATGGAATATGGAACTCAAACCATATTTCCATCTATTCTTGGTATTCAAACAGAATGAAATAATTATATATGTATGTATTTGCTTATGTGGGTATACCTAATTTATTTGATAGATTTTTATTTAGACTTGTGTAACACCCAAAAAAAAAAAAAAAAAAAAAAGAGTTCAGTTTGAATTGCTTTAATGCTCTTGTGTAATTGGTGTATAAAAATTAGAATAGCCATGTGAAAAAAAAAAAAAAAAAAAAAATAAAGTAACTCCTTTTTACAAGTCACACTGTACAAGGTACTCAGTTGCAACGATTTATGCCTTTACTAGACATTGCTCAGAGCGGCTTAAAGGATCAGATGAGTGAGCTGCAATGATATACAATAAAATCCACATAGCGTGAGTAACACTAATATTCGTTTTTTTTTTTTTTAACTTCAACTTCAAATGCCTATAAAACATATAATATTAATTGAAAAATTTGAAAAAAAACCCCTTTCCCATGAGGTATATATCCATATATTTAGTATTTTATGCACTCACATAAGCCGGAAAAAAAAAGTTGAAAAATTAAAAAAATTAGTATTAATTTTTCTCACTGTATGTTGAGCTCAGATGCGTGAGCTACATCGATCCATGCTGAGCTGGTCTTATTTAAACTGTTTATCCAATATCAGCACTCTTCTTAAAATACTACTCCTAAATATTCACATTAATGCAAATAACTTATCTCTCTTACATTCACTCGTAAATAACTGTTGAGTGTTGCTTTATGTCTGCATATGAGTGACTTTTACACACACTCTGAAAAGAGGTCCAGAGAGCAATCGATGGTTTCGACTCTTCAACAAGTTCGTTCGCGATCTCTGCTTACTCCCTGGCTGTTCGACTGAGTTAAATGAAGCAAAAATTCTGTTGTGTGTGTTTTAGTGTGTGTGAGAGTGTTGTCTTCCCTAAGCATATCAATAGGGTACATGAATTGAGCAAGTGCATATGTATGTATGTAAGCATGTAAATGTGAAGTCCATGTGTGACTCTTTGAGYCATTTGCTTTCTTATTGAATTTCATTGGGCGAACGTCAATCGTGTCTCTCTCCACACACGATGTTCGTTAAAAGAGCATAGCTCAAGGCGTCCAACAGAAGAGGAAAAACGAAACGAACCGAAGTCTTGTGCCCTAGCCGAGAGGGAGAGAGTAAGATTAATTTCGAGAACGTCTAAATGTTATGAGAAAGCTATGATTATATCTGAGAGCAATTGGATCATGGCCCCGTAGTAATCTTTTTTATGTCTTCAGGTGTAGTCGTTCGTTTTATATATAAATAACAAGGCGAAGGCCTCAGTCGGCCCTGAACCCATTGATAATGGGAAATCAGTGTATTTCAGCAATTTTGCTTTAAATCAGTCTTAATTGTATATTAATTCCAATCTCTAATAAATAAATAGATATGTAAATACGATCAAATTATAAGTTCTACGTTTTAAAAATTCTCTACAAGTATTGTCTTCACTCGAATAAAATCTCAACTAAATAGATTTAAAATAAAAACTCTAGAATAGACTGCCGTTAGTACTACTACTAACACTACAACTATGTAAAGTATATAGATAACAAAATGCTTTTCATAGCAAGTCTAATCGAATTGAATTACTTCATATTACCCAAGTGGGAAGGGATCTACAGATTTTCCGCCCTCCGCCCATTTAATACCGTTTTAAACTATAATACAAATAAACGTTATTAGCTAATGCCACACACACAGTCACACATTATTATTAGTCCGGGGATTAGGGAAAGTGCAAGACTCATTTGGGGATTATGCAAAGTTTATTTATTCACAATTTATGACTCATAGCTGCGCTGCTGCAAAATTTTCGCATTGTAACAAAAGTGTTCATAATAATAATATGACTATTACGATAAAAATAAATTAGGACTAATGATTGGGGAAAAAAAATTGCTTGGGACAGAAAAATGTGTATGATTTGACAGCTGCTCGGCGATGATGGAGGGGTGGTGAGGGGAAAGGGGGTTATGGTTTCTGGTCCACTTCGCGGCCACAGGCTGTGTGATCCGGAGTGCAACAGCGCCTGGCATTCGATCGATTTTGGGCCTAGAAGTTGTAGTTGAGATTGCCGCTGCTGAATCTCACATGGGATACGGCCGATGCCGGCTGATAGGCTGCAGCAGCCAGCTCGGGGGAGTCGGGCACTGCCATGCCGTAGTTGGTGCTGGTGCTGGGCGCATGCTGGCCGGTGGCGAACTGCTGGGCAACGTTCTGCTGCTGATCGCGGAGCACGTTCTGCTGCTGTTGCTGCATGAAGCCCATGTGCTGCTGGGTCGAGTAGAAGTTGGCCAGTCCGCCAGCCGGGGCCGCTGGCTGGGCCTGCTGTGGCAGCTGTGCCAACTGCGGCAACTGTGACAGCTGCGTCAGCTGTGGCAGCTGGGGCAGCTGTGCCTGCGGCTGCTGCGTCTGCTGGCGCTGCTGCGGCTGCGGTTGCGGCTGCAATCCGTTGCTGGCGCCACCAAAGGCCTGGCGCGCGAAGAACCGACCGCCGTCGCTGTTGATTGTGTTCGGCTGATGCTGCTGCTGGCCGTGCGGCAGCTCATGGTGCAGCTGGTGCTGCTGCTGGCCAGAGACATCGGGATAGTAGGTGTAGAGCTTCTGGAGCAGCTGCTGCTGCTGCTGCTCAAACTCCATTCGCTGGCGCTGGTAATCGAGGAATGCGGCTTGCATCTGGTCTGCATAGCTGGGGAGGTTGAGGGGCGCCTGCTGCTGCTGTTGCAGTTGCTGCAGTTGCTGTTGCTGGGCCAGGTACTGCTGCTGCTGCTGTTCCTGCTGCTGCTGCAGCTGGCTGAGGGCAACTGAGGCTGGCTTCGATTTGCCAAGCGTCTGCTGTTGATATGCAGCTGGATATTGCACTCCCGCGGAGAATCCGGCGAATTGAGATGGATTATGCTGCGAACGAGAGCAGAAGGAAAATATATCGTGTATTCATATTTGGCTGGGCATTGGCATTATTCTATACGGGATTCTTGCCGGCTCCGTGGCTTTTGTCTTTTACCAGTCTAGCAGGACTTCGGCGTGTCTTGACAGCTCTCATCTTCGGCCGAGTTGTATACACACAATCGCAATCGCAATCACAATTTAACAACTAATAGAAATTTTGCAGTTTTGGAGCAAAAAGTTAAAATTCTAGAGAGTTACAAATTCAGAAATTCGAAATCTAATCTGATCAAGCGAGCGAGCGAGACTGGCACTACACAAGGCCGAGAGGTCCCAGCTCGCCGGTGACAGTCCGGAAACGTTTTGCACGGCCTGCTCTGATGCCAGCAAATACAACAAACAAAGCGGCCAAAGAGCCAGGGCCACGAATCGAGCATCAGCCTCAGATTCAGCCAGATTCGGCTAGATTTGCCGCACGCAAGCCCCAAGTGGCCATAAAACGGCCGTTGGCATCGAGCGGCTCGCACAGTCGAGAGCGAAATGTCTTTGAGATTGCAGTTAACGCTGTTGCAGCTGCAGCTGGTGGTGGTGGTGGTGCTGCTGCTGCTGGGCCACTGCTGGGGCCGGGCCCATCCGCAGAATCCGTTCGAGAAGATAGCGGTGGGCGCGCTCGGCGTGGGCAGCCAGATCATGAACAGCCTGCAGGAGGGCGCCAAGGCCTCGCAGCAGCTGAACTTTGACAACGCTCTGATGGCCGTGCACTCCAAGACGGACGTGGGCTATGGCGACGCGATGCGCGGCAACGTGGATGATTCCGACAGCTCCGAGTCGGATGAGAGACGCCGGCGTCGGCGCAGGCGTCGCAGCGCCAACAGCTTGCTCAGCCGGCATCTGGCGCTGCATCGCCACAAACGCTCGCCGTGCATGATGATGGGCGCCACAACGGAGTCGCCTGATGAGGTGGAGGCTCGCAGGAGACGCGCACGCAAACGCGCCGCCAACAATGCATCAAGGACGCGCATCAACAAGTCGAGCAGCAAGAAGAAGAAGCTGCTTGAGGCAGCCGAGCGACGACGTCGCCAGGCGCCGCAGCAGGACCAGCAGCAGGGGCAGCTGGGGCCACAGCAGGGGCCCAGTCTGGGCGAGCGGGTCAAGTACTTTTGGCTCTCAATCGTGGACAACGTGGCCGATGCAGTGCAGCAGATGCGCCAGCGAATCAAAGGAGCCGCCGCTCAAGCCGCCGACGGCATGCAATCAATGTAAACTTCAATCAACGTGGAATTTTTTTTTTTTTTTTAATGAAATATTAATAAAGAGAAATAGTTGATAAAAAAATATATACATATATCGCAATCTAATTATTCAGCAGATCAGCGCAAAAATAGAAAGAGAGAGAAAATACAAAAATAAAGTAGTTGTATAAATTCAAACCAATTATGATTCAGATTAGCCAAAGGCGGAACAAGCGCTATAAGCAGCTGCAATTTCTGGCATTATAGATATATCTCTTGCAATAGTAACAAGCTGTTAAGCCGGCGAACATTTCCGGCGTTTCCTGCACTCGCACGCCAGCTCGCAGCCGGCTCAAACAAAAGCCGCCAAGCCGCGTTGGCTGCACGGCAGTTGACGAAATGATTTCCACTTGGCGCTTGGCATTTGGCTTGGTCCTGGCACTCGGCCCGCTGGGGCTGCTGGTGAGCGGCCAGAAGGACCTGGAGCTGGACTACTCCGATGAGTACGACAACGTGCGACCAATGCTCGTCTACCCGGACGAGCCGCGCCTGGAGCATCGCCTGACGGCAGCGGCTCAGGAGTTCGGCGAGAGCATTCGCGATGCCTGGCAGTCCATAGCCGACTCCTTTAAAAACTACTTCGAGGAGCTGCGCATTGCCTTCGCCGATGGCATCGACGACAATGTCGAGCCGCTCCCAGTAAACACCTGAGCGCCGATTCTCTCTGCATGTAAATCTCAAAGGCTTGAAGAATAAAATTCAATCTATAACAAATTACTAAATTTTGACGGGCGGGTAGAGGGAAAGAGAAAAATCGCGAAAGAGGGGAGAGAGAGAGAGAGAGAGAGAGAGAGAGAGAGAGAGAGAGAGAGATAGAGAGAGAGAGAGAGAGAGAGAGAGAGAGAGAGAGAGAGAGAGAGAGAGAGAGAGAGAGAGAGAGAGAGAGAGAGGGAAAGAGATAGAGAGAGAGAGAGAGAGAGAGAGAGAGGGAAAGAGATAGAGAGAGAGAGAGAGAGAGAGAACATATAAAGCAGAATGAGATGAAGGGAAATTATGTTTTAAATTGTTCATGTAATTTCAATTTAAGGGATAAATATTTGAGAAGAGTAAAAGCAAATTATATATTTATTATATATGTGTGAATTAATATATTTTTACCACATTAATTATATATGAGAAATGATATTTAAGCCGTGTGAGCAGAGCAGAGGGAAATAATATTGCAGATTTTCTTTGTAATTCCAATTTAATGCGCAATATTTAAAATGAATAAAAGCAAATAATAATATTATTAATGTAATTATACATGAGTTGCAGAAGGAAATGACATTTATGTCGTAAGGTCGAGAAGAGTAAAGGGAAAAAATAATTCAATAATTTAAATCAGATTTTTTTTATAACTCCTTCAGTGTTGAAATACTTATGAAAAGAGGAAGCAAATGATATATATGATTTTTAAGAAAGAATTATATATGACTGTCAAGGAAAGTAATAGATATGAACAGGAGGAAATAAAATACAAGAAAAATATAAGAGTCTCTCTGTAATTTGAATTTAAAGCACGATTATATAAGAGAAATAAAAAACAAATGATATTTAGGACTTTCCCAACATTTAGATGAAGATGTTAAGTTATTTATATGTTATAACAGTTATATGAGGTATATAATCATGAGATATTGTTAGTTATAACAGTTATATAAGGTATTTATTCTCAAAGTTTTATTTAAAAATTTCAAACGATTTTCTTGTCAACTAAATTTGGGGAAATTTGTTTTATAACTATTCAGATTTATATCAAAGGAAATCTTGAAGTTAGGTTCTTGAATCCAAAATATTTACAAAGCTTATGCCTCACATCTCTAGTTAAGTGCGACATGAATTAATCAAGAATTCTATAAATAGCTGGAGAGGAATCATTATCAGCCAGCTGACATCTGGGCCAGGCCCATAAACGTGCATAGATTGACAGGTGGTAACTGGAGTAAGATGAATGTAACGTGCCACATTAAATATAAATAAAATCGAGTTGGATAACTGTAATTTGGCGTAATCTGTGAATTGTAATTCAGCTGATCAGGCAGCTTCCGGGCTTGCTCCACATTAGCGAGCATCTAGATTTGCCGCTAATTAGTGAATGCTAACATGTAAAATGGAACACCCACAGCACACACACACACACACACATACACTACTGATGCACTCACACACTCGCAGAAACACCCCTTTTACATCTACCCACACTGCTGTCATGTTATTCGGTTAGATATTGCCTGAGATTAGGATGCCGGATTTGTGTGCAACACGACAGCAACTGTTGGCAGTAATTATAACAGATTTGTGCTGCCGACGTTGGCTGCTGCCAATTAGTCAAATGGCTGGCTGGCTGGCTGGGTAGGTGGGTGGCTGAAGCGACACCTCTGTTAAATAAGCCAAGTCGAGAGCCAAGTCAGCCAGTCCCAGACCGACAGCTAAGCAATTTCCATGGAAATGTGTTTGGCTCCGTTTACTTTGCTGCTGCTGCTGCTGCTCAGCTGCAGCTGCACAGATGCCAAGCCTCAGGTAAGCTCAGCTGCATGCACCCACACCCACACACCCACACACCCACACACTGAGTACGCTTCTCTTTGGTTACAGGACCTGGAGAGCAGCATGCTGCTGGCCGTTGCCCAGATGAAGCAGCTGGTGGAGAGCGGTGCCGCGGCACGGAACGAGCACAGCGTCGAGGTGCTCGGCCAGAAGATGGGCGGGGCGACATCTTTCGGCTTTGGCGATGCGTTGCGCCCAGCTGCTGGACGTCGTCGTCGTCGGCAGGTGGAGCTGACCTTAATGCGTCGACCTGAGCTTACCCCAATAAATACATAGACTAAACTCACCAGCTGTTGTTGTTGTTGTTGCTGCTGCTGCTGCTGTTGTTGTTGTAAAGCGGCTTGCGGCTGCTCCTGCTGCTTGGCCGATCCGTAGTAGCGCGTGAAGCTCTGCTGCAGACTCGGCGTCTTCAGTGTGAAGGAATTCGTGTTGGCATCGGTGTGAAAGGATAATTGCGCATGGCACACGGACTGCAGCCCGCTGAACAGGGCCAGGCAGAGGGTCAACAGACCGCCGGAATGCGAGAAGCCGAACATGTTACGCTTTTCTGATTTATGTTGCCTTCGGCCAAATGCTATTTGTAATTGAGCTAATGACTCTGGTGACTCTACTGGCACTGATGGCACTGATGGCTGCCTTAATTGATAACAAAAACCACAATAAAAAAAATAAAATCCCGTTATCGACGACAAAACAAACAACAGACCGGCTGCAGTTTGGCCAAAATGCGACTGTGCATTGCCCACCCGCCGTTCGAGCGTTTTATACTTGGTTTTTGGCCCAGGGCCTTGGGCTCTGCTTTGCCCTGCTCTGCTCTGCTGTGCTTTGGCCATTTACTTGGCATGCAGCAAAGACAGCGCTCGAACGGCGACGGCGACGGCGACGGCGGCGGCAGCAGCTGATGGCAAATGGAAAATTTATTTATTGGCTGTGTCTGCGGCAAGTGCCGCAATTACAGCAGCATTACGACCCAATGTGCGTGAGCTGACCAGGCCCAGACCACGCCCCTCAGCCCCAAACAATTTGCATGACAGACGCCTGGCTTGTTGGCTAATGAGCAGGGACCCAGATAGTCGCAATCGAAGTTATATAACTGATATATATATATATAAGAGTAACTGAAGATGAGGTAGGAGAGGTGTGAGACACTTCGACTTGAAGCAGCTAAGTAACTAAGCTACGATTATTATTGAGCTACAGGCTAAATAAATCTCTTCAATAAGTAGTTCTGCTCTCTTCACTCGAGAACCTGCTAGAAAGCAAGTCTCTAGGTTCTCTCCATGGAAGCTGCAGAGAAATTCAAGGGAAATGCATTAACAATTCAGCTAATATGAAAATGAATCTATTCAAGCATTCAGCAAGTCGAAGCCAGGCATGGGTATTACCTATGTTGTCAATGTTGTCTCGAGCACTCGCCAAACAAACGCAACGAAATGCGAGTGTTTTCTAATTGAAAAATTAAATATTAAAATATGTATTTAATTTTGTATGAATATTTCACTTTCTTTAAGCAAGGAGCTGTGCTTGGAATTTCAATGTGAATCAACGAGAAAAACAACAACAAAACGAATAACAACAGCAACAACAACAATGGATAGGCYCTATCGATATGGTATTCAATACAAATTGAATATAGTCGTGTCGCTTACATAACACTCGCCAGCCAAAATCAAAAACAAAACAGCGTAAAGAGGGCCAAAAGTGAGCGAAAAATATCAACAACAGCAACAACAGCAACAACAACAACAAGCGTGATGCGACCACAGGGCCAACTAAATATAAAGACCGGCATAAAACGCTGTTTATGGGAACGTGCGTGGCATGCGCAAGCCGTGAGTGCCCCAGAGTCAGTTCGCTGTAGCTGTAGCAACGGCACTTCGATATCAATAAAAAGTGGACAGTTCATGTGTGAGTGTGTGTGTGCGGCAGTGATAAGAGAGCGAGGTTAAGGCTAAACAGATATGACGCTCACCATAATTGCATTGGCAATTGCATTGCCAATTGGCTCAAACGTCTCGCTCGTCTCGTTGCCAACTTTTCAAATTGTGTTGTGTTGGCCAAAGCGATTATGAAAGAAAACTATTACGAGTGCTCGCACTCACACCACCACTCGCATCTGTGTCAACTGGTCAAACAGTGGCTGCCCTCACACACACATACAGTCAGACAGACACTCATGGCGTATACGTGATCGCATTACGCGTTGGTCTCGCGCGCGCGTTTCGTTTTGCTGCGAAGACGCAATCGCAATCGAAAGCGCATTTCACATGATTGAAAGTTGTCCATTTATATGTATGCCATTCGCCCCAGCAAGCACGCCACTCCGCCCCGCTCCCTCCCGCTCATATGTAAATAGGCAGCGCGCCGGGCCACGGCCATGTCACGCACTCGCAATTAAGCCAATGGGCCGACAATGAAGACACCAGAACACTCTCCACATATTGGCCCACGGCACACATTGCAAGACTTATAAACTTAGCTGCTGCTGGCCCAATGCTGACCGTGTGCTGAAGGGCTAGATAGGAGCAATACTGGCAGAGCATGTTGGTCAGAAGAACGTCCAGTCTTATGTAAATAGCCAAGTGCGCCATGGCGTTTGACTTGTCGATTTCGCAGAACGCATGCTGGCACGGATTGGCAGACGGCACCCGGCTTCGAGCGGCTGCAATCGAACAATGATTTGGCGACAGGGCAGCATGTAAAAGATAAACAGTTAAAAGGAACCCAAAAAGCCAACTGACTGCGACTTCGACATGAAAAAGATCAACGTTTTTTTATGTTTATATCCCCTTTTTTTATTGCAGCAAGAATACCACATAAAATGCTCACAATTTAACGATAAAATGAAGAAAAACTGGAAGTAATTATTATAAAATAAAAAAAAGGGCATACAAATAAACATAATAAAATAAAAGAGTCGAAAACTCTTCGGACGTGTCGCCTGATGCGGAAGTTGCAGATGAGTTTGGCCGAAACGCGGTAGCTGCTAAATAACGGTACTTAATCATTTTACTGGGTCATTGTAAAAGCACAAGTCGAGCGAGCCTTCCCATTGCGACGCTGCCAACTGACCTAACGTAACTGGAGCACGGCGCGAGACAATGTGTGTGTGAGAGAGAAAAAGGGAGAGAGAGAGAGAGAGAAAGAGAGAGAGAGAGAGAGAGAGAGAGAGAGACAGAGTGGTCAAAAATTCCATATAACAGTATGCCAGGCGACCAGCATCCGATTTGGGGCTATTAAACCCCAAACGTTGAACTTTTGAACTCGCACACTGACCTCAATGCACACACATACACACACACACATACTCGCACACACACACACACACACACGCACTTTTGCATCCAATCCTTGCGTTGCGAATTATTTTGGGCTGCCTTTTCGCTTTTGCATTTGCACAGATTAAATTGAGGCCACGTGCCATCTGTTCCAGATTCAGGCTCAGGTCCAACTCCTGCTGCTGTGGCTCCTGGCTAGCTGCTGGCTCTGGCGCCCCAATGGCATCCACATTCGCACACTATACGCAATTTACCTAGGCTGGTGCCGAAAGACAAACAGCAGGCATCAGCCTTTTTATGGCGTGCTCGCTACAGTGGCTGCAGTATACTGAAAATGTGTTAAAAAGTAATGTGGAAATTGCTTTGATTGGTAAAAATAATATTATCGAATAAAGTATGTGAAATTCTTGAATGAAAATTGAAATTTCTTTGAAAATTTCAATGCAGTTAAAGCAATATACATATATAATTTAATTGTGTAGAAAAAATATATTTAAATAAATTGAGTATAAC